TTAAATGATCTGCCCACTATGTACCATTCCTCATCAATAAGAAAAGGTCATAAAGTACACTAGTAAGAATGGTTGATGATGCAATTTCTCCATCAGGTTGAAATTTAAAAACATATCTTTCTGTCACAGTCTGGAGTTAAACAAAAAGGAAAAGGACCAAAACAACAACAACAACAACAACAACAAAATGATTTATTTAAAGTGAACTAAATGAAAGGCAACAAAAACTTACCTGAAATGTTCAACTGAAAAGTTCCCAAAGGCAAAAAAAAAAAAAAAAAAAGCACAAGAGGCAAATTCCGAAGAACCAAAAACCATGAGAGACTCACTGGGAAGCATAAGCACTGACATACAGACATACAATGAACCAACCTCTGTCACATCTTGCAGGGTGAAACAAAGAAAAAGACTCAAATGCTGACCAAAAAAAAAAAAAATTATTAAAAGAACAGAAATAGAAAGCAATAAAAACTTATTTCAAATGTCCAACTGAAAAATTCCCAAATGCAAAAAAACACAAGAACAAAATCCAAAGAAACAAAACAGGGGACAGCAACAGGGGACACAAGGATACGCATCAACATTCATACAAACATACAATGAACCAACAAGGACAAAGGGGAAGACGGGGACTTTATACAGACTGGGAAACGAGCAACAGGTGAGGCAGACGAAACGAAAGTTACGCATGTAACTACGGTTTTTATGAATCCTGAATTCGCTGATTCGAACCTGGTCAGCTTTCAGCGCATAGCGGAGCGCAGCTGGTCTAGTAGTATTTTGGTAGACCGGCGGCGTATCGGCATACATCACTGATGCCTCACAGGCAGGTTTCCACAGTGTCAGGCAGATTTCAGTGCAATAAAAATAAATAATCATCATCAACTATTAATCTGAGTCAGCACATATATTTAGATCTATATCGATATATTCTGATCTATATCTGATCTGATGAGCACGTTTGGCATGCATTTGGACACACAACCTGACCGAATCAACACAGCTGAAACCGCATTAAATTAAATTAAATATCTAGTAAATAAACACAAATGATGAAGTTAACAAGATATGTAATTCGTCTCCCTCCTTTTCTTTCTTCCTCTTCCTCTTATCTCTCGCGCAGCTCGACCTGGATATGTGTCTGTGTCCTCTCTCCGTCCTGCAGCAGCTGCTGTGGCGGCGGGTGAACGGATGATTTGTTTCAGTGATCAGATGAGTTATTTACTTTCAGCCTACATACGAATATTATAATTTTTAGTTTTGTGAACCAAATTTATTTTATATGCCAACATCTATGAAAGAGAGAGCCTGGCCACGGAGCGCGATGCATCATTACGCACAGATGGTTGAGATTTTAATGCCATTATTGGAATTTATGTTGTGATCTGTGCGCACAACTCATCTTTGTCATGTGGAATTTAAATATATGCAGCACATACATTTAGATATACAGTACATCAGTATATTTTGATGTATATCTTAGGAGCGCGTTTGGCACGCCTAATTGCCACTCGACCTGACCGACTAACACAGCTGAAACTCTGATGCAAACCAACGACTTCACGTCTCTCTACCAACCACAAACAGCTTCGTCATCACAGAGAGAGTATATATTTGGCATGTCATCTCAGAACACTCAGAAAAAATCAACGCACACTGAAGCAAAGTAAGTTATGACCGTTGTTCTCAAGATTTACCTGCAACATGTGATCTCACATAGCTACAAATGTAATAATTTTCATGCTTAACATTATCTACAAAGATGGAGTACATAATTGCAAGGAGGTGGAGGAGGAGGAGGAGAAATTACAAGGCGAGGGTGATTCATCACAGGGCATCATATTTAACCTGAACAGAGCAGGAATGTAGGTGGGCCACATGGATAACGCCTCCAACACCGTGTTCAATACAACTGCCTTTTAACAATCTACTATTTTCCTTGACACAGGAACAAATTTCACCTGTCCCGTGAGGTGGTCCATACGATTACACGCATTGTGGGTGGCCCATGCGCTCTCCCAGTTGCTGTGAGGGTGACAGCAGCTCTGACTTTCTTCGCCACCGGGTCTTTCCAGCATACCGTGGCCTCGGTGGTAGGGATAAGTCAGGCCGCTGTCAGTTTGGCCATACATGCAGTGTCCACCAGTCTAGTCTGACAAGCAAATGAGCACATCATTTTCCCATCATCACCTGCAAGCCAGCTGGAAACGAAGCGAGGGTTCTTGTTGAAATATGGATTCCCTGGGGTCCTTGGAGCAATTGACTGCACACATGTGCAGTTGCGCGCACCAGAGACCCAAGCCCTCATTTATGTGAATCGTAAGGGAGTCCACTCCATCAATATCCAGGTGATTTGTGACTCACATTGCCTGGTGACAAACGTGTACGCTAATTACCCCGGGTCTGCAAATGATTCATTCATCCTGGTGAATTCTATCATCCCTACATTCTTTCAGGGGGACACCCCTCTGGATGGGTGGCTGCTAGGTGATAATGGCTATCCACTGAAAATGTGGTTGATGACGCCATACATTACACCTTCAACAAGACAGCAACATGTTTTTAACAGTGTCTTCAGCAGTGCTAGGTCAGTCATTGAACGTACTTTTGGAATCCTCAAAATGCGTTTCAGATGTCTGGACCGGTCAGGTGGTTCATTAACATACAGCCCGCAGAGTGTCGGTGCATTCTTTGTGGCATGTTGTTGTTTTACACAACATAGCTATACGCCATGGATGCCACTATGACCTCGCCAAGGACACATTACTGGACATTAGACAGAGAGAGGCCGAATTGCATGTGCCATGTCAGCAGGGAGAGCAGCAGAGCGCACAGGTGAGGAGGGACCGCCTCGCAGCATAGCTCTGTCCTTAAATGTGAGTATTTGCTTTCATTCATTTATACACTTGATTTGTAATTATCCACATTGAAACATCCAATAAATAGTCAAACATGATTGCGTTAACAAGTGTTTTATTGTTGGTCTCCCCTCCCAACCCCCCTTCTTCTTCTTCCTCCTCCTCCTCCTCCTCCTCTTGGGTCTGGACGCTGCGGTCGGTTCATCAACCCAGGTGGCCACCCCCCTCTTGTGCGCGGCCTCAGCGGCCACCTGGGACAGGCGGGAGCAGATGATTGTGCTGATGGCAGCAGCCTTTCGGCTACCTGGACCAGTCGCTGTAGTGTAGCAACGCCAGAGGCTAGGGGGAGCAGGCTGGCCTGGAGGACCTCCTGAACAGCTTCACCTGGGCCTCCAGCGACCCAAGCCGCGCCCCCATCGACCCCAGCTCCCTCTCCAACATCTGAAAACCAGCCCGCTGGGTCTCCAGGAAGGGCTGGTCCTCCCGCTGAACCCGGTTTCGTCTCCGACCCCGTGTTGCCGGCTCGTGTCTGTGTCCTGCCCCCTCTTGCGTCACCGGCTCCGGCTCCCCCTGGTCCTCCTCGCCCTCCTCGCCCTCCTCCTCATGGTCGTCTTCGTCCTCCTCTCCCTCCTTCTCCTCCTCCCTGACCACCTGCTGCTGCTGCTGCTGCTGCTCTTCCTCCTCCTCCTCCTCTCTTGTGTGGTGCTGCTGCTGCCGCGACGGCGGCAATTCTGCCGAGGCTGACCAGAAATTTTATTTTAGTAAATCACAGAAATTCATTTGTTTTTAAATGTTAACAATACTTTAATTTAGAATAAAGAAGTTATAAATTGTGTGAGCCAAGTTCATTTCACATGCAAACATTAGCGGAAAGGGGGAGAAAATACAATCAGGCTTTGTTTGATCCGTCTTTATGCACAGGTGGTTCCGATTTCAATCCCATTACGCATGGCATTTTTTCAGATCACCTGTGCACACAACACACCTTTGTAACACGTGGTTAAATATACATGATGTTAGTGTCTTTATTTGTGGAAAAGAATGATTGTCTTACCTGTGAGTCCAAACCCCTCGACACTGATTTTGGGGAGTGTGGAGGATGCCACGTCCTCGGCAGGGCTCAGCGCCACACTTTGTGAGGGGCCGCCTCCGGTCGTTGCTGTCTGGCGACGGTGTTGTGATAATTTCAGTTTAGCCCGTCGTCTAACATCATTGAACTGCTTTTTGCATTGCGCAGCGGTTCTCAGCACATCCGGGCGAACGTGGTTGACAGCAGTACTCCTCCTCCTCCCAGGCTGCTTTTGCATCATCGGCCCATGGAGGTCTGTTCGCATGACCATATATCCGGCCACTGCGAGACTGGACCTCCCGGACCAGAACATCGGTTTCCTCTTGGGAGAAGTTCAGCTGTCTCGCACTCGTTTCTTCCATTTCTGCCAGGTGCAAGTCTGCTGCACGAAAATGCCAATACGCCTCGCCGATGGCAGATTTAAAGGTGAGGAGAGGAGGTTATTTGATTGGCGCAAATTGGACTCGGCTGTGTTAAATCCACTCCACGCCCTCTCTCCTCCCCATCTAGGACTTACGCTGATGGGAGGAGCTGAGTTAGGGAGGGGGGATACTTACGCCGGGCTGCGCGGCTCACCAAAATACCAAAATGTGCTTGGACACGCCTTGTCAGCGCGGTGGATCTGACTTACGCCACGCTTGTGGCACGTCTCTGGCGAGGCACGAAAATAGAGCCCAGAGTGCTCTGGCGGTCATTTGGGATTCATAGAACCGTAGTTACATGTGTAAATTTCGTTCTGTTTCATCCCTCCTGACCGCCAGAGGCAGTGCTTTAAGCACTGAATGACTTATACCAGCAAAGTCATGAGGAATCCTGATTGCAAACTTTAAATCAAGAGGACTCCGGGAAGAGGACCACACCCAACGGATGGGGAGAGCCAACGTTCACCCTGTAGAACCTGGAGAACATGCTCGATGAGGCCCACGAGGCTGCTGAGCAGATGTCCTCAAGGGGTACTCCTCTTAGGGCTGCCCATGAGGTGGAGACACTCCTGGTTGAGTGACACCGGACCCCGGGTGGCATGGGGCGGTTATTCACCTATACTAGGGCCGCTGTGACACACAAAGAGCTGTTCAGCTCATCGGTGCCGTGGCTCCGATGTAGGCTCTCAAGGCCCGCACCGGGCACAACAGCTTCAGCTGGTCAGCCCCGTCTCCTGGTAGAGGATCGAACCGGGCCAGCATGATAGGCCAGTTGATATTTGCTGCCGACGGCACCTTTGGCAGGAAGTCCATATTGGGCCATAGGGTTATGTCTGACTGGTCTGGGTTCCACCATAGACAGGATTCGCTGATTGACAGGGGATGCGGCTCCCCTACACGCTTGGCCGATGTAATGGCCAGGAGGAGGGCTGTCTTACAGGACAGCCACTTGAGCTCCACCTGTTCCAGGGGCTCAAAGGGAGCCCTGCATAGGGTATCTAAGACCCTAAGACCAGGTTTAGGTCCCATACTGGAGCTCTCGGGGCTCTCGGGGGATGCAGCCTCTGGGCCCCCTTCAGAAAGCTGGAGCACATTGATATGATTGGTGCGGTCTGCTGGACACCACTGCCCATGAGCTGTCCTGCCTTGCCACACTGCACCCCAGCCCGAAAGGGAGGCATTGGTGGCCCCATAGACCCCATTGGGACAAGATGTAAGCCCTGTCCCTCCACGGGACTAGGGTGAGGAGGCACTGTCTGGACACGGCAATCTCCCTGTGCCTGTGTCGCTCGGCATCTAGATAAAGGCCGTTTAGCCACCTCTGCAGGGGGCATAGGGGACAGCAAGCCCAGCGGCACAACAGTCGCAACGGATGTTAGTGTGCCCATGAGGCGGAGGAACTTGATATCCTGAAATCCTGAACCTGAAATCCAACAGCAGCTTCATAATACCATGCACCCGGCGGGTGGAAGGACAGGCCGTCATTGCAACCGTGTCTAGGGCTAGACCAATGTATGTTGTGCTCTGAGATGGCGTCAAGCAGCTTTTGTCTATAGTTACTTTTATTCCCAGGCGGGCCACATGGGCTAGAAACCATGATGTGTCGTCCACTGCCTGCGCCCAGGATGGTGCACATTAATCATTGACATTGATCGAGTGAACGCCTTTACGGTTGATGTAAGCGTACTCGTCATTGGACGGCGCTTTTATGGCAACATGAGTGCAGTCAATAGCTCTGATTATGTTTGGGAATCCGGCTATTGCTGCAAATTGCATTTTAATATTGGCCTGTTCAACCGCACCGTAGGGGAATTTGATGTACCTGTGGGAGAGGCGGATCAGCTGGTCCACCACCGTGGGATGGCCTGGCTGATGATTGGCTGGCTCACCCCAGAACGGTCCGCCATCTCCCGCTGGAAGGAGCCTGTAGCCAAGAAGCCGAGTGTGCCCAGCACCAGCGTTGGCACGGGCACCACTCGGCTTCTGGCCGTTGTGCGCTGGAGCGCCGGGCGGAGCTCCTCACACAGCTCCAGGAGGATGGCCCGCGGTAGCCGGAACCAGCTCACGAGCCACTCGTCTGAGTTCTGGAGCAGGTCCTCCCGCTCCATGAAGTGACGCTCTTGTCGGATTGCACGGTTTTCCATGTCCTCTAGGAGAGCAAGTGCTGCCATTGTTGAATGTTGTCTTCTCTATTTGTAGTTGTAGTTGTATGAGTTCTTTTATAGCCCCTCCAGTAATACCGACAGGTGTTACACTTGTCGGATTAACAGTTAATCCACTGCGATGTGTGAACACTTGTCACATAGTGAGACACTAAACACCGCCACACAGTGTCGCCAAAGTGCCGTCAACGCAAGTATCGGCTCAACGCCAACTTCTACACCACCTCCTCACTTTGCATGGATTAGCGCTGGAAACGACGCTCGTGTCGCAATGATAAATCTGGACGTGTGCGCTGATCTTGGCGAACGCAAGGTTTTCTGGCGCCGCCAGCGTTGATACATGAGGCCCCTGATCACTGAAACAAATCATCTGTTCAGCCACCGCAGCAGCAGCTGCAACAGGACGGGGAGAGGACACGGAGACATGTCCAGGTTAAGCTGCACAAGAAATAAGAGGAGGAGGAAAAAAGAAAAGGAGGGAGACAAATTAAATATCTTGTTAACTTCATTTACTAGATATTTAATTTAATTTAATGCGGTTTCAGCTGTGTTGATTCGGTCAGGTTGTGTGTCCAAACGCGTGCCAAACACACTCATCAGATCAGATATAGATCAGAATGTATCTATATAGATCTAAATGTATGTGCTGACTCAGATTATAAGTTGTTGTTGATTATTTATTGCCCTGAAATGTGCCTGCCACTGTGGAAACCTGCCGGTGAGGCATCTGTGATGTATGCCTATACGCCGCCGGTCTACCAAAATACCACTAGACCAGCTGCGCTCCGCCTGCGCTGAAAGCTGACCAGGTTTGAATCGGCGAGCTTTCAGCGCACTTTACACGCCGGTGGCGAGTACGAAAATGTCACTGTGCCCGCTGATTCTGTCGACAGCTCCCCCTGCTGGCTCAGCTGGCGCCACTGTAATTGTGCTCCCAGGGAGCATCTTGGGTTTATGCTAATTTCTGCTATCTTATATTACTGAGAAGC